TATAATATAAGAGTATGATTTCCCTGGCAATTAATAGTGATTATTTTTTCACCATTTATCTTAACACATTATTTCACTGTTGATTTGTATTAAAATATTTTTATATGACCGGGAATCAGTTGAAAGATGAATATATCCGAGGTCATCAGGGTATAGATCCATCTGGTTGGAGTCTGATTCTTCTTCGGCTATCCAAGTGATCCAGGAGGAGGGGAGCCATCTTCAGCCCTTCGCTAGTCTTGTCAGAAGAATCCAAAACATGCTTTCAAGACCTTGGAACGTCAGGATCACTCATGTTCATAGGGAGTAGGGATGTGCATGGAACGGTTCGGTTCGATTATTGTCAAAAACCAAACTAAATCAGTTTTAAACGGTTTGGATTTTAAACCGAACAATTTTTTTAAAAAAATCGGTTTTTAATTTGTCCAAACTGGTTTAAAACCGGTTTTAAAACCGATTTGTGGTTTATAACCGATTTTGAATTAAAACCGGTTTAAACCTGAAAACCGGTTTAAACCGGTTTTAATTGAAAACCGGTTTTAAATCAAAACCGGTTATGAACCATAAACCGGTTATCAATTTCAAAACTGATTTTTTAACAAATTCAAAATCGATTATTGATGAATTGTGCTATTTTTATAAGTAGTCGTTTGTTTCTCCCGCTTATAGGTAGTTGACCAACTATTTCTTGCAAGAATCTTCATTGTTTTGGAACTCTCATAACAAAATGATTCTTATAGAAATTTTTCACGTTGTTTTTACGGAAAACATTTTGATCAAAAATTTTTGCAAAAATTTTTGACAAAAAATATTTTCATCAAAATTTGTGAATAAAAACATATCTGTAAACAAATTTGACAAAAAAAAAATTGTCGAATTTTTTTACGGAATATAAATTTCGTCAAAGCATTTCCCTCAAAATATTTCACAAAAAAACATTTAACAAAAAAAATATTTCTATCAAATTTTTTCACAAAACACATTTACTTTGAAAACTTTTGACGGGAAAAATTTCATCAAAATTCTTTACAGAATTCAAATTCCGTCGAAATTTTTCGACAGAAACATTTTCGTTAAACTTTTTGACAAAGAAATTTCCGTCAAAATTTTTAACGAAACACATTTTCATCGAAGATTTTCGACGAAAAATATTTCCGTCAAGTTTTTTGATAAAAAAACATTTCCATGAAAATTTTCAATGGAACACATTTCTATGAAAAAATTTTGTAAAATTTTTATGACGAACAATATTTCGATAAATTTTTTTGACCAAAATAATTTTCGTCAAAATGTTTTATAAAAATATTTTTCGTCAAAAAATTTGAAGGAAGTGATTGGAGGGAATTTAGATTCCGTAAAGAACTTTGACAAAAAAAATTTCCATCGGAACTTTTTATAGAAATATTTTTCATCAAAAAAAATTTCTGAAATATTTTTCGTCAAAAGTTTTTACGTAAAAAATTTTGGTCAAAATTTTTCGCTGTAAATGTGTTTTCCGTAAAAAATTTCACTGCAAAATATTTTTCGTCAAAAATTTGGACGAAAATATGTTTCGTAAAAATTTTTAACAAAATTATTTTCTATCAATTTTTTTTATGAAAATGTGTTTCGTCAAAATTTTTTAGATAATTATTTTTCGTTTAAAAGTTTGACAAAATTGTTTTTGTCGAAAGTTTCGATGAAATTTAGATTCTATCAAGAAATTTGACTGAAATATTTTGTCCCTAAAAAATTTATGTCAGTGATTATGACAAAATCTTGTTCCGTCTCTAGTTTCGACGAAATTTTTTTTCGTCTCTATTTTCTACGTAATATGATTTTTGTCAAAATTTTCGACGAAATATTTTTCTTCGATAAATTTTGTTAGTATTTGAGACTTTTGTAATGATGTCACATTTAAAAATGATTCATATTTATGTAATTTTCACATTTTAATGTTATGGATAAAAGATAATAGTTATTTGTTCTTTAATTGTAAAATGATTTGGTTATGGATAACCATGGATAACCAATTATTTTTATAGTTTGCTAAATAACCAGTTTATAAAATAAAATGTAGTTTCATATGAAATCGATTTTTAAAAATAACCGATTGTTAAGATGTGGAATAGTTTGGTTATGGATCGATTTGATTCTTTTGGACATTTTGAGAGGTCTTTTGGTTAAGCTTTTTTTAAAAGTAACTTTTACCACTTCTTTATTTTAAAAGTACTTTTTATAAAAGTTAAAGCTATTTATATTTTTATAAAAATATTTAGTTTTTGAAAAAAATATTTAGCTTTTGACTTCTGCTTTTCTGAGAAGTTAAAATTTGTAACTTCTGAAAAAAGTAGGTTTTTGACTTTTTTTGTGACTTCTCCTTTTTTTAAAAGCCAGACATCCAAATAAACTAAAAACGAAAAGTGTTTTTTTTCTTGAAAAAAAGCAGCTTTTGAAAAAAAAAAACTCATCCAAACGGGCCCTAAATATCCTAATAGAGAGGCCAATGAGATTGCCGACTGGCTTGCTACTCACACGTTGGAAGGTAACTGGCGCGTAAACTTGTTCTATTCTCCTTAGAGGTGGCAAAACGGGCCAACCCGTCCCGACCCGCCTTCAACCCGCCAAAAGCGGGGCGGGGCGGGTTGACCCGCCGTTTGATGGTGGGTTGGAAACATCAACCCACCCCGTTTTGAGGTGGGTTGGCGGGTTGGCGGGTCAACCCGCTTAAAAAACAAAAAATAATTAAAAATAATAATAAATTATAATTATTAATTTTATAATATTACTTATTTTTATTTCATATTTCCCTTAATTTTTTTCAATCTCAAGCCTAAATATACGCTAATATTCAGTCAAATATTTTTTAAAAACTTAATTTTGCCTCTATATATGGATAATCTTTGTCATAAGTAAAGTTTTTTTTCTTTATTTTTCTAGGGGAGTACTAAAATAAAAAAAAATGTATATCACAAAAGCTTAGTGACAAATAAAATACTACCTAATAGTAAAAAAAAAAAAAAAAAAAAACTAACCCGCGGGCCAACCCGACCTGACCCGCCACCAACCCATTTTAACCCACTACTAAACAGGGCGGGTTGAGGTGGGTTGGTGGGTTGAAAAGTGTAACCCAACCCGCCCCGTTTTGGCGGGTTGGCGAGTTGACCCGTCGGGTTAAACCCATATTACCACCTCTAATTCTCCTGCCCAGGGCTGTCATGCTCGTGTTGGGAATGACTTTAAGGCTTGTCTGTACCTAACTCTGGTTCCTTTTCTTGCTTTCCTTTGTTCTTCAAAAAAAAGATGAATACCTACTAGTGATGTGACCACAAAAAACCATTCACTTGCATTCTCACCTTATTGCTGAAGATTTATTTACCACAAAATATTTTTATTTTTATTTTAACTTTTTACATTAATGGTGTGGAGAATGTTCAGAATATATATTCATCTAGATTTTATTTACCAAACAATGGTAGTGCATTTGGTGCATAAGAAATTAGTAGCTGAGCAAGTGTGAAGGTAAAAATATGTGTTTAATTCTTTTCAATATTAGAGGTGACAAAGTGGATGGCTCGCCCCGCCCCGCGTCTCCCCGCCATCAACCTGCTAAAAATTGAGTCAGCCTGCTTTGCTCCACTTTTCAAAGTGGGCTAAAAATCTCAGACTGCCCCGCCAAAAAATGAGCCCACCCCACCCCTATTTTGAAATGGGTTGTAAAACTTAGCCTGTCTCACCCGGTTCTGGGAAGGTTGGTCCGCCGAGCCAAGCTAGTTTTGCCGCCTCTACCCAATACTCTTTTTTTATAACTCCCCGACATTATCTTTGATAAGAGTCTAAAGCCTTAATCATGGACCCGCTCGAACATGATTGCCTCCCGTGAAGGATATACGTAGTTTATTCAAAAAAAAAAACCTAGATTTTATTTTAATTTTTTACTTTTTTTTAAGATGTTTGCTTTTAAAAGGATTTAATACTAACAATCATTCGTTTAAATGTTAATAAATTTATTTTTCTTAATTAAACATATCCGAGTACCAAAAAATATATTAGAAGAGCCTTTAATAAAAGATAGTATTGCTAAATAACCACGTGGATGATGCTCTTATAATACTCACTCAGATTCCTCCGCCTTGTGTCTTTTGTACTTAGTTGATTTCCTACCAATTAGTAGATCTCATTGTATTCGATTGTTATATAGTTGCTGTTTGCTTTTACTTGGGCTTTGTCTTTCTTTCAAAGTATTTAATTCAGCCCAACATAACAATTTAAGAAGAGATTTTTTTAATTTAATTAGAAATAAGAATAGATAATATAATAGTTAATAAAAAAACCCGACTATTAATAAATTTTAAATAAGAGAGTAAATTTAAAAATTATAAGGAAAATTGAAAAATTAGTGTGGATAATTAAGTAATTGAAAATTGGGGATGATAATTTGGAATGAAAGAAATGCACCAACTTTTTATTTGTGTAATGACGTTTGATACAAACATGACCTACAATTTTGGTGGGTTCATATGACACGGTACAAATAACTTGCAAATTAAAATATATAAGTTCTCAACATTGACACGACATAACATATAACTTGATGGTCAAAATAATAATTAACAAAAAATATAGATTAAATTCGTATTTGCATGTTGACACATGATGCAACAAAATTTGTTGCATATCATATTTTTTCAACATAAATACGATATAAAATTAGATATAGGTCAACCCCTAACATAAATTTTAACATCGTGTTCGTTTCAAGGATTTTTACCCACCCCGTTGAAAATAACAATAGGCTCATTCCAATTTTTGAAATGGGTACGCTTTTAACGCTTAAGGATAAATTTATTGAAACACCTTTCTTATGTTCTTAACACAGCCACGTAGATTAGAGCGGATTTATCACAGTCACATCTTGAAGAACATCGTATGCAAATTGTTTTTTATTTTCAAACACTCTCTCATGTTCTCAAGATTAGAGCAGATCTATCGTCAAAAAAGGATTAGATTTCATAGCCTCTCATATCAATAGATTGTTCAGTTTTATTGGATGTTCTAACACACACACAATGACACAAACACAACTATATATACTGGAATTTAAATTAGAGAAACAACAATTATCGCACTATGTTGCGGACACAAACACGAGCACACATGCACTAATTTTTTTTGTTTTTCCTCTTTTGACCAAATAATACTGGTACGAACGACACTTTATTTCATTTGGTAACACTACAAACCACGAACTGAGATATAAACATCGATCGCCACCAACACGAAGACCAGATCGAGTACTGTTATTCATCACACAGGCAAAGCACAAGTGAATGCCACCGGCTAACGACTCATGCCACCTTGCACTGCCGGAGCTGCCGTGACGCCGCGGGAATTCATTTGCACATTCCCATCCCAACCTAGAATAAGCAAATATATTGAAGCACACAGAGCTCCCCAAATTCGCTTAAATAATCCACGAAATTAACAAGAAACAACATTATGAACATAATTAATGGTTATATATTAGCTTAGTTTAGTTACCAGCAGACACGTCGAATCCACGGGCTTGGAGTTCACGATACTGTTGGCAAATGGATAAGTGGGGGCAGAGGCAACTCACCAAACAATCAGCACATTGGTTTCCCTCAATCCCATGTAGCCTCCTTAATTTTGTACGATAAATGCATGCGTAGAGTGACACCAAATGAGTAGTAAAACCAGCAAGCATGCAGAAAAGTGTTCCATTTGCACAACAAGCTGCCATTGCATTTGCCAATACAAATTGAAGAATAACTTTAGATATAATTCCACAAAAAAAAAAAAAAAAATTTAATAAAATGATAATTGAGGCTCAATAAACACTTACAAGTTGTTCCTCTATCGGCGATCTCAGCTATCCTTCCGAAGCTAACACAGGGGCACCATAAAGTGAGGCAACCTGATGAACAAAAGTGATAAAAAAAATATATATTAAATTAATTGGTGTTGCTTTAATTTGGTAGCTAGCTTAGGTGTATGTGGTAGTTATATTAAAGACACGTAAACAATTAATACAAATTAAAGAAGCAGGAGATAAGAGTACATCTTACAAGAGCTACAGTCAGAGAAGCAGTCGCAAAAGCCAGTTGACCATGGACCAACAGCATCCTTGTTGCCCATTTTTTTAAGGCTTTTAATTTCTTATTGGTGTACGCACTATGCAGGGAACCTTAGGCCTCAATATATATCCTTATTAAATAAAGAAAAAGCGAAGTGGGGCCAAAGAATAATTGTTGTGCAGCCCGGGTCAAACGAACAAGACATAAATTGGGTCAACATCAGGTATGGATTCACTCGTACGTGCATATGATATTAGATCGTCTGAAAGAATCTCAGCTATTCATTTACAATCTTAACCATCTATATACCAATTAATGGTGATTATTTTTTTCACCATTTATCTTAAGACATTATTTCACTGTTGATTTGTATAAATACTTTTATATGACCGGGAATCAGCTGAAGATGAATGCCTACCAGAGATGTGACCACAAAAAACCATTCACTTGCATTCTCACCTCATTGCTTAAGTTCTATACATGCAGTTGATTATTATTAAATGGTATTAAGTCATTTATTTATAATCATGCAGTTTATAATTTGATACTTGTCATCCCATTTTTTTTTTAAATAAAAACTTAATTTTAATACAAACTATAAGGTGAATGTGTGCATGTTGATCTATACTGAAAATCTCATAACTTCATTTACCAAAACAAAAAATCTCATAAATTCTTATACGAAAAGTCATGTCAGAGATATTATATAAAACCATATGCTTTCACATATAATTTAATTTTTTCTGTCCTGGTTCTTTTAATAAAAAGTGTGAATTTCAGCTGAATATATGCCTTCTGTATCTTTTGAGTTAAAAGACTTTCGAAAGAGATATTATAAATGTAATGTAATGTCATATTGGCTGAACCAGGGCTTCTATAACTTTTGCGGGAAGATGAGATTACTATTTATATGATAAAAAAATAAAAATTTATGGTCAGAACCATGGTAATTAAAATCCCGATTTAAGCATACCAAAAAAAAAAAAAAATCGATTTAAATTTGCGCTTTTACGATTTTTTTAATCAAAACGATTTTATCAAAATTCCAAACACTCTTACGTTTTTACGATTTTTTTTATATTAGAATTTTACGTTTTACAATTTTTATCCTCTTTTCGATTTTAGATAAAATTTAAATTTTAACTTCCATGGTCAGAATTAAAGACTTGTATGAACTTTTCGTTACACCATTGGATGACTTAACCTAATGATAGAATTTTTAATATATCTATCGATATATCAATATGTATCAGTAAAATCGTGAAGTGATAATTAATATCATTATAATTAATAGTGGTAATATATTATTATTAATGCTATCATTATTATTATTTATTTTATATTAAGAAACAATTAATAATATAATTATTGCAAAGAGTGTAAGATTGATAAAGGAAAAGTATTTAAATAGTTACAACATATATATAACAAAACTAAAAAAATAATCAATATATTCTCTCTCTTTTTTTTGGAAATATCAATCAATATATTCTCTTTGTTTATATTTAAAATTTTCTTAAAAATAATTCATAAAACTTATCATATATGATTACTTAAAATAAAAATAAAATAATTTTACGTAAAACGGTTAAGTAAAGAAATCAAGATCACTTAATTATTTTGTTTTAAACATTTCGTCCTTTTGTGTATATTAGATACAATAATTAGAATGGCATTTCATTTTTATACAGGCACAAGGGAAAAAAACTTGATCTTATATAGGAAATATTATACTTACAAACTCTTACAAACTATACTAAGTATAACTGATCATACTTAATGTAATTTGTAACAAATTTTTTGTAAATGGACCATTCCCCATATATATATATATATATATATATATATATATATATATATATATATATATATCCTGGAGATATTTCCACTCAATCCCTTCTGATCATCTTAAAGGGGAGACATCGTCCCTTTGAGCTCCAAAAATTCCAAAAATTTGTTTTACCCAAGATTCGAATCCATCTATTAATTACCCCAAAGACACAAAAGTATTCTCTTGATAAGTATTTTGATTAAAAAATTAAGTATTTTAAAAACAACAAAACAATGCAAATAGGAAATGAAGAAGTTATATGCAAATATTATGACTAATAACAAAAAAAGATAAAAAAATAAACATGACTATCTATTGCCGCTGGTCTTCCAGATAATGATATCAAAGCATGTGCTTAAACTTAAGGAGGCGAGTCAACATCCAATGTCAATTTATAATTCCAAGATCTTCCTATATAGAATTTAGTGATAGCATATTTTGCAATGCTAACTATACGATATTGGGGAATAGATCTTCTTATGTGAAAAAATAATCATGTGATCATGTTATTTGATCACAATCATTCATTGATGATAAGATAAGAGAGAGTAAAATGCATAATTTTTAAATGAGTGGTTGTGATCAAATAACATGAACACATAATTATTTTTTTACATGAGAGGATACGTTCTCGTAGTGGGAATAAGAATACGCATCAACAATATAAACACAGTCCATGCAAGGTTTTCTATATCGTTATGCATAATACGTACGTAATATAAATATGTAGCACTACAACGTAGTATATAATCCAACCGTGGTCGTGGTGTTCCATGAACAAATTAAGTGCGGATATTCCCTCTTACGTTATCTCATCGATATGAATATGAAGGTATTTGTTGACCTTACGATGAAGGGCAAATTTTCTTAGTTGGATTCTGCGTTGGACCGCACTACATAGTTTGAATAATGTATTTGCCAAATGCTGAATGTTACTTGCCAACAGATGATTCGTCTCCTCATAAATTCAGAACCCACCAAAGCACTAATTAAACGGAGACATTCTCTTATAAGGTGGGATAGTGCCTTTTATATATTCAAATATGGGGAACATCGACGTAAAAATGTCACATATTGCATTCACATTTGTTACAGTACATGGATTGCATTCACACGATCGCAATAAATCATTTGTTAGGTTTTAATATTTGATTTGATTAAGATTTTGCATTTTAAGAAGGTAGAACTTAATTAGACTTTTGTATTTTAATTAGGTTTTGATTAGTTATAAATAAGTGGTAATTAAATTTTTGAATTTTTAATTTTTAATATTTCATTCATGTATTTGAAATATTATAAATTATCTATTTTCTAAAAGTGTTTATTTAAAAAATATCCAAGTGGAAGAGAAAAAGCAAAAATTTCCTAAATAAAGACCATCATGAAACCTGATGCTATGGGCTTGCTCGATATAATTACTAATTAGGTACAAGCCCAGCTGGAACGGATGGCACGGTAACACGTGTCGCAAAGCACATGGCAATGGGAAAAATTATTAATCAAAAGTGATTGACACCAACTTCACTTCAACGTCCACTCATTGAAAAATTTAAATTGTTGCTTGAATACCATCGAGTATGAAAAGCACATCCACTCCTGGAAAGTTGAAATTATATCTTAAGCGTTTTATTAGTGTTATGTAACATAAGTGTTGTTTCTAACTCTCACGTCAAAAAGAAGAGAGAAAGTGGAATAATGAAAGAGAAAGAAAAACATGTGGACCCTACCTCTTTAATGTGTGTGTAGGAAAGTGAAGTTATATTATATTAAATGATAAACATAAAACCCATATCTTAAATACCATCGAATTTGAACTTGTATTTTTGCGGCCACCTTCTAATTCGTAGGATTGCATAAGTCATATCTCTACGTATGATAGGTGTTAAATACAAGTATGATAAATATTATTATAAATGGTTGAGAACATATCACTTTTTGTCAAATACAAAAGACTCTTTAGTTTAATGTTTGGATATGATATTTATTTAAAAACATATTGGTTTCACATTTAAATTGTTAAATCAGAGCATTAGAGCCTGTGGAAGCTAAAAGAAATTAAAGCAATAAATATAGAGTAATGATTGATTTAGTGAAAATCTTCTTGAAGCTTTCTTTTGGCCACTTTTTCACATTGAAGATTATGGATTTTGATCTTGCGCTCTTCATAGAAGTTGTAGATCTTTCTCTTATCTTTTCAACGAGACTAAAATCACATCAATTGAACAAGTATAACTTAAGTTATGCCCAAAAAAAATATATATATATATATTTTTGTTGTCAAAAGTAATTCGCTGGAGCGAGCAAGGCCAGCGAAGACGTCATTTTTTGACCCAATTGGAGGTCCATGAGTATTTTCTTTAAAAAAGCATGTATAGGGTTATTTTAAGGCATTCCATCTGCAACCATAGACTTTGGAAGAGGCAGAGGAGCAGCTCTTTGGAGGGGAAGGAGGAGGAAACATTCAAAGCTTTACCGTGGAGACTGGTTCTAAGTTTCTTTTACGGATTCTAGTTTATTTTCATATTTTGTTTTTGTTTCTTTGACAATGCTAAGCTAGTTTCTTTTATGTAGTTAGAGTGAGATGGAACCAACGAATTTCTAACATTGTTTTAATCTTTCTTGTAATTAATATTTATGTTTGAAGTTATGCAATTAATTTGTTTCCAATTCCTAGTTTCTTTTGTGATCTGACCTGTCTTGAATGAGATTAAAATCTTGCATGACAATAGGAATATTACATTCTTGATTTCAATTAATTAACTGTTAGGATTTTTATGATTTAGGCATAGGCTTACATATTCTATGACTTTATGATTCTTGTTCTTAATGCTTGCATAAGGAAAAATCTCTAAAGGATTGGAGTTTTAGTAAAGGACTAAATCACTAAGGGATTGGGGGTTTAGTTAATTTAAAAAGAATTGTCGATAACTTGATCTTGAATATTAATCGCATGAAAAGGTAAAATTGTTAGGAAAATATTGAGAAAATTGAATCCCTAGTTATGCTTGTCTTTAATTAATTACAAACCGTTCTTGTTTGCGTTCTTAGTTTTTGATTTTAATCTTGAAAATTAAAAGTATTATTTTTAAAATTCTGTTTTAATTAATTTGAAATATTCTCAAGAAAATCTTTTACGATCCATCCAACTTTGATAACAAAGATAAGTTACCGATTGATATATCAATTTTCGTGGAAACAATAATCTCACTTTTTTACATTATATTACTTATACCACAATATACTTACCGAAGTCACAATAA